CTCCTAAATACAAGAATTAATAGGGATATGTAAAAGAAATGTGAATAAACAACAAAACAATAAAATGAATACTTAATCAACAACATTTTATACATATTTACACATTGGTTGTTCATGTTCGCATTTTGATCGGTATAGATGTTACACTGGCCTTAAAACCTTCTGCTGCTGTCAAAAAAATGTGGATCTTTTCAAAGATGGCTAACGAAATATGACTGCTGATTACGCCGTATAACAGATTATGTGTATTGATACAATTCGGTGGTAAAAGATTTATAGATATTTTGCGTGCATCAGAATGTAAGGAGCAATGTAAAAGAAAATCATCGGTATCTTCGAAGGAACACACTCGGGGCTGTCCGAAATATGCCTTACAAATTTATGCCCATTTAGGTCACTATGTAATATTTGATTTTTACGTTTGCCAAAGTTGCAATAAGGTGGTATATTTTTTTATCTTTATCAGTTATTTTAGTTTTAAGTTTACTTATAGAGGTCGAGTTTTTAATACTTATAGCAAGGTTATTCCATTCCTTTATGGTAGAAGGTATAAAGGATTTAGAAAATAAAGTTGTTCGACAAAAGTAATCAGTTATATTATTGCTGTTACGAAGATTATAAGGAGTTTTGGAAAACTTAATTAAATTGTGGAGGTATTGAGGGGTTAGCTGATTAATAATTTTGTACATTAAGATGAGTTTGTGACGCCTTCGCCTCTCTTGCAGAGGGATAAATCCTGTTTCTTCATATAGTAACCTATGACTGATACCCTTCACCTCCACGCATATAGTCCTGAGTGCATCTAATTTATTTTTTAGCTCGTCTGTGCACCCATCCCATATTACGTCACAATAGTCAAAATGTGGAAGAATAAAAGACCTAAGGCAATTAATCATTTTACTCGTTTTAGTCCAAAAAAATAATGTTAACGTGTTTGTCCCATTTGCAGTTTTTCTAAAAAGTCAATCCCAAATGCTTGTGTTGATAAACTTCTTTAATAGGAATTCCGTTCAAATGTGTAGGTAATAGTGGGTTTCGTTTAGCAGTCAGTCCAACTGATTCAGTTTTCAGCGAGTTAGAGGAAACCAGCCACGTTTTTGCCCATCTGTTTAACATTTCAAGATCATTATTTAAGACAGTCGCGCATGCGGTTGAGTCATTAATTTTTAGACAGATGCTAGTGTCATCCGCAAAAAGTCGAATATTCGATTTTATGTTCTTAACGATATCATTTATATATATAAGAAAGAGAATTGGACCGAGGACATAGCCCTGTCGTACACCAGCAGGGACGGTCTTAGGGTCAGAGGAGACTCCACTTACAACGACGCTTTGCTTTCTGTTATACGAATAACCTTTGAACTTCATATCCCAGCCGCCCCAAGCTTCCGACACAGTGCTGTATGCCACGCCCTGTCAAATGCCTTGCTGATGTCACAGACCACCGTCCTCGTATACTGACCCTCGTCTATGGCTTGACAAAAGAAGTGCGTATGGTCAATTAGTTGATAGGTAGTTGAGTTACCGTGCATAAAACCGCTTTGTAAGTTAGTTATGATTGCATTATCCCTCATGAAGTTAAATGCATGCATGTAAATATATTTTTCGAAAATTTTAACAATGATGCTCAAAAGGGAAACTGGTCTGTAATTGCCGCATTCAGAAGGGTCGCCTTTGGTCACATTTCTTAGTTAAAGTAACAAATCTAGCTGCAGTATTCTGTACTTTTTGTAATTTATTTATAAGCTTTAAAGGTAAACCAACTAAAAATGAATTAAAGTTATCTAATCGAGAAGTGACCAGAGAATTAACAAGTGACTTAGTGGCCTCTATAGTTACAAAAATATTGTTTAAACTAACATCTGTGGCGGAAAACAAATCTACATATCCATAAACAGATTTAAAAAATCTTTAAAAAGATTTGAAGACTCTGAAATTAAATTTTACTCTAATAGAATAGAAAATGGTGAAACAGACAAAAAGACCTGTATAAAAGTGGTATTTCCCTTTTGGATCATAATGCTGAGCGGGCTATTCTCCAGGACAATGACAATGACACTGAACTTGAGAATTTATTCTCTGATTTCTTTCAAATGAAAATACAGAAAATACGAACTGAACTTGATGATTTAAATAAAACTATTAACTTTAATTTTTTAAAATTTGGTAAGTGAATCTTTTGTTTTAAAGCTAATCAAATCTTGTTCATTAGATCCTGTTGCGACTCCTGTTCTTAAGGACTGTCTAGACGAAGTTATTCCAGTTTTTACCATTATTATTAATTCTTGTACATCATCCCTTACTATTCCCAACGTTTTCAAACAAGCTTATGTTACCCCTATATTTATAAAGTTTACAGACCTGTCTCTAACCTAAGTTTTATTTCTAAAATACTGGAAAAATGTATTGCTTCTCAGATAAAGGCCCATCTAGATATGAACCTCAGTACCTAAACAGCTTTAACCGGGTTTGAAATGATATTTTAATAGAAATGGATAATAGAAAATGTACATTTTTAATTTTATTACATTAGATTCATCTGCTGGTTTCGATACGGTGGATCATTCTACTCTTTTACGTAGACTTCATTTTAAATTCGGTATTTGTGGCTCTGCATTTAATCTATTATAAAGCTATCTTGTGGGTAGAAAACAGTGTATTTTAGGTAAATGTAAATCGTCGTCTGAATCTGTTTTGTGATCTGGGGTTCCTCAAGGTTCTGTTCTTTGTCCGATTTTATTTTCCCTTTATGCTTGACCCTTAGGTGATATTGTCAGAAAATATGGTCTCAGCTTTCATTTGTATGCCGATAATACGCAATTATATATTTCAGTTACACCTAATTGTCCATCTTCTTTCAATTTATCAAAATTGCAACTTTCTAAACTTGAATATCTGTTATTAGGCTCAAGTAAATTTGCACATGATAACCCCCTGTTGTAATTGTGATATATTTCCATCTTATTCTGCTCGTAATATTGGCACATTCTTTGGTAGTTTTATGCTTATGGGAGCTTGAGTAAATAATATTTGTAAATTGTGCTATTTTAATATCAGAAATATATGTAAAATACGTAAATTTGTAATTGTAGAGGCCACTAAGTCACTTGTTAATTCTCTGGTCACTTCTCGATTAGATAAGTTTAATTCACTTTTAGTTGGTTTTCCTTTTAAGCTTATAGATAAATTACAAAAAGTACAGAATACTGCAGCTAGACTTGTTACTTTAACTAAGAAATACGACCACATAACTCTTGTTTTATATAATTTACATTGGTTACCTGTTAAATATCGAATTGATTTTAAGATTTTATTACTTACTTTTATGTTTAAATAATTTAGCTCCTGTTTACCTCTCAGATCTTTTAGAACTTTATACATCCTGGCCGAACATTACGTACATCAGATAAACTACTTTTAAAGCCCAAAACTGTTCAACTAGTCTCTTATGGTCAGCGCTCTTTTAGTTATCAAGTTATCAAGCACCTGCCATTTAGTTTAAGAAAACAACTTAAAACACATTTATTTAATCAAGCTCTTAATTGACTCTGTATACAATCGTTCAAATGAATAAAATATTGTTTAAACTAAACTAACATGTCCATAATCTTGTTGTTTATTTATGAATATATTGTCACTTTGTAAAGTGCCCCTGAACATGATATATGAAAGGGCGCACTATAAATAAGCTGCAATAATAAAAAATAATAATAATTATAAAATATCAAAATTCTAATCTCATCGACCGATTTCAATACGTGATTGGTTTCCAAAATAAAAAGATATTGAAAATCGGATAAGAATTGGGAAGAAGATAGATTTTAAAGATTGGCTTCCTTCCGTTTTCAAAATGGTGGCACTTCCGGTGAGTTTTAAATTGATGGGATTACTCTAAAAAGTTGATTGACTACTATTGACAAAAATTGTTAAATAATATAAAATTAAAGAAGTTGATTATCTGATTTTGTTATCAAAGCGGAGATAATCGGAATATTTTTGTTGAAATTTGTGGATTATTCTACACATTTGTAACAGATTCTGAAAGTTTCAAGTTAATATGTTAAAAAATAAAATTAAAAGGTTACGTTCAAAATGACACCGCTTTCAATTTAAAGTTTAAAAGTAAGTCGTAGATACCACATTGTATCGGACAATACTTGTGATTTACGAACTACTACCAATTTGTGCAGTGTCATACTCTCTCATAATTATTTAAACACAACCTTTGTTTAGAAATCTATTTTGATAAAACGTTTAAAACAACCCACCAAATCAACTACTTAATTGTTAGGTTTCGACGTTTGAACCGATTTCAAATTTACGCACTTTCTTAGAAAAATGAATTTTATGGCCTCACCTTTAGTCAAATGTAGGTCAGATATCAAAATTCTAATCTCAGCGATCGATTGCAAATTGTGAACACGACTACAAAAGTTTATTGACAGACCTGTTTTAAATCCGACTGAATCCAAGCCGGAACAATATCTAGCGATGATATTTTGATTTCTTAAAGATGCATTATGTAAGATTTAGATAATGAGCTGTCCATTCTTCCTAAAATAGATAATGAAAAATGAATATATTGAAAATTTAATTCAAATTACTTTTTTCTGGGTGAAGTTATCACTGTTTAGAGCTTTTGCAAGGTGTGACATTGATTGTTTATTATCGTAACAGCTGTACTTTGTATTCGGGACTTAGCCTCGCCTTTCCATTTTTAAATCAAATCATTCAATGGCCAAAGGGTTCTAATCTACATAAAAATTGGAGCCTTCGATTGAAAGTTGATTATGGGCTTGCCATGTTAATAAATGTTTAAATAATGGTTCATATAACATTTGAAGCCGAAATAAAGACCTGCAATAGGCAGATTTAGCTCTTACATATTTAATTGAGTGTTATATAATCAATTAAGCATTGATTAAGCCGTTATAAATTTGACATTTTAGTGAAAAATACAAATGAAACACTGTAATTGAATAGTATTTTATATATTCCAGAGCTTCAGTGTTTAGCTTATATAATGCATGACAAAGAAGATCTACAACAGATACTTATAACACGGAGTATGGATGGCAAAAATGAGTTCAATTGCTGGGTAAGGGCATTCTTGTTGGTTATTTTTCTGTCAAAGTTATTTTGTTAACTCAATAACTGGCGTTTGCTTTCACACGTGTTTTCCAAGCAAGGGTAATTCTGCCCCCCCCCCCCCCCAGTGACCACTTCCAGTGTTTTACGTACACCAAGAGGTAACTTTCCCTTGCTCAGTTAATAAATAACAGCATGTTAAACACATTCTAACATATAGATCTGTGCTTCGGTTTATCCGTAACAGAGATTAGAAGAAATGGGAAGTGAAGCAAATAACGATAACAGCTACATCGACGATTTTGAGCTGGCTGATAATTCTTGTGAATACTGTAAAAGTGGGTTCGTTGGGTTGTTGTTATCTAAATATAAGAGGAATCCAATTTGTTGTTTCTTAGTAATTTATTAAGTGAAGATTATGATTATTAAAATTCAAACAATAATAACAACATAACATAAATACAGAGTATAGGGTGGTGTAGCTTATAATAATATATATATATATATATAAATTCACAATAATGTAAAATATGCATTAATCTTTAATAGAGCTAACTCGCTTGTGAAGAGGTACAAATTACTGATTATCGAATATATAGTACTTTTCGGTTTATTAAAAATATGTATTGTAAAATATTCGCTGGTAAATAAACAAGTAATGAATCATATAAATTCCCACTTTCCGTTTATTTTAGCGCGAACCATTTTTTATTATTTTTAGTCACTAATTATCTTTTATGGAAACGTATCTACATAAACAAGTATTTCGTCGACAAACGTACTTTTCCATTTTATTGAATTTATATATTGTAAAATATTCGCAAGTAATTAAACAAGTAATAAATTATATCAATTCTTACTTTTCCATTAATTAATTAATATTTTAGAAATATCCAATAAGTAATACTCGATTCTAATAATCGTACTTATCCGATATGTTAGGATATAATTCTAAATCTTAAGTTAAGATAAATATATATATATATTGATGTCAAGGTCGTCTGTGCACAACATAACACTAAAATAGTTGCCTTAAACCGAATATTAATATATATATATATATATATATATATATATATACTCAGCCAAATTAAAAACTTGACACTCGGGATTTTTGGGACTAGATTTTTAATATTCGGTTTAAGGCAACTATTTTAGTGTTATGTTGTGCACAGACGACCTTGACATCAACAGAAAGCAAGAATACGTCTCGCCGAAAGTTCTTGACATTGATAACGTTCGTGATGTTACAGTATGCCCCCCCCCCCCAAAAAAAAAAATGAAATTCACAGACTTGGAGAACAATCGGAATAAAGTGTTTAGTAACGGTTGTGGTCTCCTCTAGCGTCTCGTACTGCCACGCAACGTCTTCTCATGGATCTCAGAACATTAGTAAACACTACCCGAGGAAGACGTCGCCACTACTCAGCAAGAGCATGTTGAAGGTCCTGCGACCCAGTTCGTCCCAGATGTGTTCAATAGGATTAAGGTCGGGGCTAAGCGACGGCCAATCCAGGACTTGGACACCGACATTTCTTTAAAAGTTCTGGGTAGCAATTGCTGTATGGGGTCGAGCATTGTCTTGTTGAAACGTTAATCCAGGCCCATGTCTCTGCATAAACGGAAGAAGAACAGGTTGCAAAATCTGATTCTTGTACTGGACAGCATATAAGTTCCGTTGGACAACAACAAGGAGAACGTCCATGTGCACAAAAAGAACCCAAACCATGACGCTGCCGCCACCAAATCGGTCAACTTCTCTGACGCATACTTGAGCGTAACGTTCACCTCGTCTGCGGTACACTCGGACCCTGCCATCGGCAAATCTCAAAGTGAATCGAGATTCGTCACAAAGACAACCGAATTCCACTGTCATTGAGTAAATCTTATGTGCCTTGTGGCCCACACATGTCGGTTACGGCGATGAAGAGGTGTCAATATTGGTCCATTATAGGGCCTCCGAGCTCGAAGACCAGCAGCCTGCAAGCGATTTCGAACAGTTTGTGCAGTTACCCTTCCACCAAACATCTCTCTACTTGTGGAGGTTGCAGTGACAAATCTGTTTCTAAGATGACGTAATCGTATTGCTTGATCCATAGAAATATATACATATTTATATATTTCTATGGCTTGATCTTCCTGGATTGACGTCACACGTGGCGCTCCCGGCCTTGGGCGGTGTCCAACCTCGTGGGTTTTCTCCGGGTCCTCCGGTTTCCTCCCACAGCTATAGACCCCTACGCGCAAGCGAATTATTGAAATAAAATTGAACCACGTGTTAGTCCCGAAATGACCTAGTTTGTGTCGAGTGGACGTTAAACCCCATTTCTCCCTTCTCCCTCTCCCCTTGGGCGGTCGGCAATAGTTCCAGTTTGAAGCACTCTCATTCTAAGATTAATTATTGTCTGGCGTGAACAATTAATGGCTCTTGCAACAGTGACCACAGACTGACCAGCATAGAGCCTATAGCACGTAGACGTTCTACATTTGAAAGGCACGGCATTTTCTAACAAAGATGAAAATAACAATTTTAATTTGTTTTTCCAGTTCAAGTTACGTGTGCGTGTTCAGTTTAAGCAAACTTGCATTGATTGACCTCACGAGTTTGTGTTTGCACGTGTTTTTCAGGGTTTTCATCTTTATATGCTCAAAAGTGTGACTTTACAAATTTATGAAATTAAAGGCTTCTTACTACTTACTATCGTTAGAAACACTTTAAAATTTATATGACTTACCAGAAAAAAAAATTTGTTGAAATTCATCAGTGTCAAGTTTTTAATTTGGCTGAGTATATATAAAGTTTAACATTCAAATTATACCTAGAGGGCTTACCTGAATATAAGAGGAATCCAATTTGTTGTTTGTTAGTAATTTATTAAGTGAAGATAAAGTTGAAATTTGAGCTAGATTATTTATATCTTCCAAAAGTCCCGGCAAGTATTGACGTGCCACGTGTAGGATTAAACTCATTTTTGATTGGTGGAACACCATTAACGAAAGACCCCCATTTCTCGATACGAAGTCTGATTGGCCAGATCGAGACTCGCTTGGTTAAATATGTCAGGTAACGACATTTAGTAATAGCGTTAGTTTAATCCTAGCGTATTGTTTTAAAATTTTAAACTCACTATTAATCTTCCTTAATTACGTCTAGATAAACAACCAACAAAGGATCCTCTATTAAGGCTCTTTGATACATTCTTTCTTTCTTTTTTTATTTCTTTGAGTCATACGACTCATCTGATAGACACATACCATATAAATACATAAATATTTTACACAATAAGTAAACAAATCAGGTTATGTACAAAATTTTACATATGTATAGTATGGGGAGCAGGCGACTTGAGAAATTTTAATGTGCAACATTCAATAAATTATTCCTTCTTTTATTACAGTAATATAAAAATAATGCAAGATTATTTAATTCTTTAATATTATGAACACTTAGCAGTTGAGTCAATTTATGAACACTAGGATTTCGAATATAATAATTCTTTATATATTTTTTACGAAGATCGGAGAATACAGGACAAATTACAATATGGTGGTATTCGTCTTCAATATCATTTGATTTACAAAGGTTGCAGACTCTGGCTTGACGGGGTGTATTTTTAAAACGGCCAGATTCGATGTGTAAACAATGTGCAGATAGTCTTATTCTAGAGATATATGTGATATAATTACAATTTAAAGGTTTCGAAAGATAATATTGAAGTTCGAAGGTAGATATGAGATGCTGATATAACATACCTTTAGGAGATGTACATATAGATTCATAGCATTGTTGTTTAAAGACATCAAATATTCTATTTTTAAAAATAATATAATCCAATTTAGTTAAGTTTTGATAATTATCCCACATATAACCCAATCCCAAAGAACATAATTCATTTTTAAGATTTAAAATCCATGGATTTGAGTTGTTAATTATATCAAATAAACAACACTTTAAAACAACATTATTGGTAGAACATAATTTTATAAAATATTTGAAAATTCGAAGTTTTTGTGTTATTGATAAAGGATATCTCCCTAGCTCATGATACACCATGGAACTGTTTGTAGTTTGCCGAACTCTTAAGATCCGTTTACAAAAATATAAATGGATTTTTTCTATATCATGTATACAATTACATAATATTGTTTAAAATCTATTTACACCCATCAGCGTCAAGGTTTAAGACCGATAGGAAAGATAGATTATGTATATTGTGCAATAAACTAGATGTCGAGGACGAGTATCATTTTATTCTTATTTGTCCCAGATACGAAGACCAGCGAAATAAATTTATAAAGAAATATTATCGTAAAAACCCAAGTGTCTACAAACTAATAGAACTTCTTGCCGCTGAGAACACAGTATTAGAGAATCTGGGTCGGTTTCTATTTAAAGCCAATAAGAGAAGAACTGAACTTATCATTAAAATATAATCAATCCCCTTTTAACGCTTTTTGTACATGCTATAGTCATACTCTCCTTGTACATTCTGTATATATTTTCATTGTATGTTCGTTTTGTATGTATTGTTGTATGTGTGTTTTACCCGATGGGTCTTTGACCTAAGGGAATAAAGAACTGAAGTGATATATGCTTATTAGGGGATTATTCATTCGCTGTCTTTAATAAACATATATACATTTAAAATAAACTATATATTCTATAAACTATACATTCTTTAAAATACATAAAAATTAAATATCTAAAATAAAATATTTGTGCATATTTCGTCAATATGCACTGTTACAATACGAAGAGATTGGGGAGTAATTACTAGTCGGGTGCCTGTTTCGCGAAATTTTAACTAAGTTAAAATCCAAATTTTAGTAAGTTGATTGGATAATACTAGATTGATTTTAGTGCTTAGCCAATCAAAATTGAAATATCTACTAAAATTTGGATTTTAACTTTAGTTAAGATTTCGAGAAACAGGACCCTGGTTCCTATATACCCCTCGTAATTTTTATTACCAATAAAAGGGTATATTTGCCAAACCATTTGAAAAAGTGTTAGTGTTGCTTTTGTTTATCTACTTTAAATCATTTATCATGGGTACAACACCAACTGCTTCGTTTTATAATAGGTATGATGTACCAAATTAGAAATTAAATACCGTTTTATTATTTTTTAGAGTAAATCGATTTTGTGAAAAATACCAATTATATATTCCATCTGAAAAGCGAATAATATCTGGTTTTCTGATGGCACATGATAATGTGTTTATTAACCTTTTGTTCAATTCATGTATCATAATATCACAGATATCCGCTGTTTCACGTGCTGTTTTGCTTGACTATGAATCTATAAACAATCACTGGTCAAGGCCATAATATTATTACAAAAGCTGTCAAAATATTGAAATGATGCATGAAATAAATTATTCAAACGCAAGGTACAGATTTTATAGAACTTGAACCAGTGTTAGGTTCAAGAGCAGAACCATAATCTCATAAATATTCCCTAAATATTTCACCTCAAAGTCCTCTACAACAAAACTTCTTATAACCTCATTAATTGTTAAGCATAAAACCACAACAGAAGATGGTGTGGGTGGGATGAATGAAAACCGTGTATGTTCAAATTATCTGAAGTTCAACGTCACCAGTTCGCCTAAACAATACCTTAGCAACAGATTGAGGCCTATTCCAAACAATATGTCCTTGTGAACAGTCGCAAAGCCAAGACGTTCAACCAATTAAACTCAGCAGCCCCCACCTGCGACATACAAAACATATCAGAACGAATATTATTAATATGTTCAATTACTAAATGCCTATCAAGGACATTACCAATTTTAGCCAACGTACAATCGTCACAGATGACCAGACCTCCCACCAATCAGACAAACTCAAGTTTCTACCTACAACCAAATCTAAGAATAATGATGGTTATATCGCCAGTTAAAACCAGTAGTCTGGAGGCTCAGTGCGCGGGGGTGTCCATCAAATGAGCACAAAACCAAACCAAACTTTTCTATAGTAAAATTTTGCGTAGAATACGTTGCCGAGTGGTATTCAGTCCGCCGTTGGAGCGTTTTTAAGATATTCAGGGTCAAATGAGGTCATTCGCACTGATAATTTGACAGTTTTTACGTATTTTTTGATAGCGGTTTCGAAGTGCTTTGGTTCTGTTATGCAAGATCTTTTTCGACGTTCCAAAGTAAATGTACGGTGCAAAGACCGCCTAAAGATAAGTTTTAAATGTTCCTATTATTAATTAGAACAGGTTTTACTTTAGTTTTTATATTTTACGCTGACATTTATTGCTTTAAATCTCCCTAGTGTAAAAACGGAAAATTTGACCCTTTAACCTCCGGGGTCACACAGAACAAAGTTGAATTTAGCAAGTTTACATTTTTATTGAAAGAGTGATTACTTTCGATCATATTCAGCATGTTTTCATGATACAAGAATGGCTGCGCATTCACTTTCAGTGCAAATGACCTCATTTGACCTTTGGTCCCGAATATCTCGAAAACGCTACAACGGCGGACTGATTACCACTCGACATCGTATTCTACGCAAAAGTTTACTATAGAAAAGTTGGGTCTGGTTTTGTGCCTATTTGATGGACCCCCCCCCCCCCTCTGCCCCCACGCACTGAACCTCCGGTATACAGGAGGTGAATTCGACTGTCTACGATACCAAATTTGTAATATCCTCGCCAAACCCGCACAACCACACCCAAACCGAACATGGAGCCCTCAGAGACCTTAGGGAAGATAGGACCATCACCATAGTAATTGCGGACTAAGGGAATGTAACAGTAATAATGGATACAACTGACTACGTCAGTCCTGTCGGCACTCTTCATGAGCAATCAGCTTACAGACTAGTAAGGCGGGACATCACTTCTGCTCATCAAACTAAAAACACCCGAAACACTCCAAATCCTTTAAAGAACAGAGACAGAAATTAAACCAGTTATTTTACCATTTACTTATTCCCGGCTACCATTATAGTCACCATCACATGTAGGGCCCCGTGTCTAAAGCTGCTCAATAGTTTTCAAAATTATTATCCCAACTAAATTCACCAACCAATGTAAGTTTGTCTCATACGATGTTGTTTACTTGGTCACCAACTTGTACACAAAACAGAGGCCATATGACGAAATATTCACCCACTCGACCTCGGCCTCACCCATGACAGCGTCGCCTATCACATCCAAACCTATCTTACTGCCACGTAATTCACATGGAGACTGGAGAGACGACATCTAGGAGCAAGCTACATGGTTGCCCACTTTCACCTCTTCTATGCAAAATTCGAAAAGCGCTAGCTCGCTAGCCTGGAGGTCGGGTTTCGATCCGTGCATTGGCCGAGAAAGTTCATCCAGATTTTCCGGCTTGGTTCCCCTTGTCAGTGCTGCAAGACGGAGGGCTTGACAAGGACAGCTGTCTAGTCGTTCCGTTTGGACGAAAAACCATGGTCCTGTGTATACATTGGCGTGCGCGTAAAAGATCCCTTGACAGTTGGAATTTGATATAAGAGTAGGCCGTAGTGCACGTGTACGACAAAATTTCACTCATGCCCTTTATTATGAGCCCAGTTCGGAGCAGAACAGTAGGACGTTAAGCCCCAATTCATTTCATTTCATTTTTGCTTATTGTCCCCCGTATTGTCTGTCTGGCTGTCCGTCACACATTTTGGGGCACAGTGACTTCTAAATGAGCTAAAATGTTCAAACTTGGTGTAGGTGTGTATGGCTGGGTTCGATGACGGGCATTTTTTGCGTAGGGTGAGCAGGGATAAACGATGTTATATTGATTCTACATTGATTAAGTTCGATAAACAATCATTTTCTGCTCAGATTAGATAGAGTGATAAAAAAATTGATTGATCAAGACTTGGAAGCAGAAACTTTGATGCTACAATCGTAATAGGGTGAGAGAGTGGCGAAACTTGGTGTATAGTTTCAATGCACCGATACCATAACTAAGCTCGGTGTTGAGCATTTTCTGCTACGGCTACTAGGTAAATAACATGGCTGACTTCGATGATTAGCATTTTCCGTTAAGACTAAGCAGAGGTAGCAATATGATACTCATTTATAATAAAGTATTATTAAATCTTTAATTCTGGCGTTCGCGGCCCAGAAATATGGAGTAACAGTATGTAAAAATGTATTATGGTGTTATGGATTTGAAATAATAAAAGATTGAGCAAAAGGTAACACCATACGTTCTCTCTAATGATTTTATGTTTTACCTATGGTTTTATTTCAGATAATAAAGAGCTATATTGATGGTGGTAAATGGCCGTGGAGGGTAATGTTCAAGATGCCAACAACTCAGTGTACACCTGTTCCGGATACTCATATGGATGCACACCGACTTCCGAGGGCTGAATTTTACCTGGGAGATAGTAAAACCATTTAATTCTTTTCAAAAACGTCTGTCTAAATGTCTTTCTGGACAGAAGTCTTACGGGTATTTTACGCTAATATCTGATTTTGAGATGCTTCAACAATAGACCCACACACCCGCAAATATTAGGAAAGAAGAATCTTTGCGTTATTCAAAAATAATGACCATTTTTTTGCCTCTACAAAATCGACTGGAGCACATCTTAGCTTCACCTTCTTCGACATCTTAACCCACTTGGGCTATTCTACAACTATCTGGATTAAGCCCTGTACCTCCATAGTGTTTGATTTTGCTTTATATAGTTTCATTGAGATACATTCATTTAGATATATTTATATGGCCATTCCTACGAATGTACAAATGTATAATTTAATAATTTTCTGAGCCACAAAGAGATAACAGGCCAAGAACCAACTGTACATTTTTTATGGCAAAAATAACTTCCCTCAAAACCGTCATTTTTGAGAAAGTTACGTTAAGGATGTCTTTATTGTATTAATATCGTCATTTGTAATGCGCGTTAATTCCGAAGAACAGTTTCTAAGGACCTGTTGACTATTACATTTACTGATTATTTACAGATCAGGGCTTTGAAACAAGAATGTTTTGAGTTGAGATTTAAAATGACCCACAGACGTTAATTGTTTAATTGACTTTGGTGGTTTATTCCAAAGAAAGGGTCCAGCATAGTAACTGTTGTCCGCACAGCTAGTTCGATTCTTGGTATATTAAAACCCTTATATACCAATGTTCATGCTTCCTTAGAGAGGTGAACATCTTTATGTGTTACAGGTGTTTTCACATATTTACCTTGTCTAATAATCATTTCCTTTTTTCTTTTTCAGAAGACAAAAGTAAATTATGTAAACCGGCACAGAATCCGGATTCTGTTAACCAAGGTGTTAAGGTCACAATTAAACCATATGTAGGAGAAAAAGAGGCGTCAACATTTACGAAAGAAGACCAAGATCTGGAGTTTACAAATGGGGATGATTTTAAACATGAGCCACGTTCCTCGAAAAACGGTTGTCATACCTCCATAGATAGGTCATATCAACTGTTCGGGATTATTTCTTTATGTTTGATGGGGCTGTGATATGCCAGAAAATTAGTATTTATGAAAGGCAACTGTGCAATATTTATGCAATTATTATTCTTTGATGGTAACAACCTCACACAAGTGCCAAAGACGTAGTTTAACGTATGTGCAAATAATGTAATGAATCACTGTAACTTACTATATTTAACAAATGTCGTGATTCCAGGGTTTTATATATTTGTGAAAATGAAGCAAAAGATTGTCGTATCTGTACACTTAACAAAATATTACTTATATGGTACAATGTGAGGACGGCATACCTAGATTAGTTTTTAGCTGTAAACCCATGCACAAAAAAAATATGACATAGTATAACTTTTAAATTTCGCGTTCCATGCCATCGTTTGTCGCCCGACTACAAACTAAATTTTCACGACAGAATATTTTACCGGAATTTGTGTGAAAAGGTTAATATAAAAAGTACAAGAACTTTTGTGAACTAAAGATTGGTTTAGGATAAATTTGTTTCTATTAATTAACATCGGTATTTTTTTTGGTTAAATATATTAATAATATTCATATTCTAAAAAGAATGAAATGCAAAAGTAGACCTTGTTATGATTATCTCATTTTATTTTGATTAAAATTAATATCGATATAAATGAGACCACATTATGTTTTAGTTGTATGCTATAACTTATTTCGATTGTATATCATGTTTTAGTTGTTTGTCATAACTTATTATGATTCTATATCATGGTTTGTATATATATCATTGTCCGCAATTTGTACTTTCGTTATATTCTACTACTATTTGAATTCTTGTGGTGTGTACATTACGGTAATTGATGCAAGCGACATTTCGGTCAATAGCCCATATATTAACAGAACTCCCTACTTTCTCCGTTTCACTAGCTTTCTTCGAACAACGCAACGAAACATGTTAATAAATAAAATTAATAATTCAGTATAAAGTTCTGTCATTAGTGTATCAATGTCAAAATAATCTTGCTCCCTTATATTTGTCTGAATTTTTGACAAACTATAAACCGAAACGTGCGCTAAAGTCGCATGGCAAAAATATACTTGCTGTTCCCTATAAACAAAACTAAAACAATTGGTGATAAAAGTTTCAGTGCTGCTGCACTTCGCCTTTGGAATCAGTTACCAGTAAACATTAAAGAATCTCAGACTTTCACAATCCTTAAGTCACAACTAAAAACTCATTTGTTTAAACTCTATTATCCAGATTAGAAACAGATTGTTTACGTGTGTTTTTAATGGCGAGAGACTCTTTAAATATTGCACTTTGAGCATGCGTATATGGATGGATTATTAAGCGCATTACAAATATACATTATTATTATTATTATTATTAAATCTGCCAAAGTTTCATATTATTTAGATGTTAAGAGTCTTACCAAAAATCTTAAAGAGAAAAAAAAGAATTGTTAAAATTGGTCAAACACTCGATTTGTCACATCTAGAAACATTTAACAAGGCATTGGTATTTGTATTTTTATACCGGAGACGACTAATACAACCTTTGCTGCCACTTACAGTACTGATGCAAGAGAAACAGATATTGTATCTGGATTAAGTTAAGTTGGGAGAAAATTAACTTTGAAACATTTAACTTCAAGAATGAAGAAATGAAATGAAAAGTGATATAGCATCCAATATTCTGGTCCGGCTTGGCTAATGAAGACGGGCATATGCCATACAGTGTGCTTTGAGGGAAAGTTTGCCCGGACAGCGGCGCTATGAACTACTCTTATATCGAATTACATCTGCCAAGGGTTCTTTTACGTGCACCTCAATGTGTACACGGGATCTCGGGTTTTCGTCCCATCCGAACGACTATACGTTGTCTCTTGCCAGGCCCTCTGTCCGGCACCAATTTTCCGGTGTGGTTTCCCCTTGTCAGTGATGCAGAACGGAGGGCCTGACAAGGACAGCTGTCTAGTCGTTCGGATGGGACGAAAAACCGAGGTCCGGTGTACATATTGGCTCCATGATACTCCATGTAGGACAACTTATTTTTTCGATAGCCGCCATTCTGTATATGTAATTCGTTTGAAGTTCACGGAATTTAAATGAATGGCGTGTAGATATAGTACTTATATCAGTCATAAAATAGATATTCTTACAAATTATGAAACACATTTGAATGAAAGTATAACACAATCCGATACAAAAATATGTTTTTTAAAGTTCGAGAGTGACACTACGTAATTTATTAATACCGCACGAAGGCGTTAGTCGGAGTCTGGTATTAATATATTAGTCAGTATCTTGCTGGAGGGAGGCCATTATACAAATTAAAATACTTGTACACTATATCACCATACCATCAGGTAACCAGCGGCTGCCAGAGATGGATAGAGAACAAGCTAAACAAAAAGCAATTTTCCGTAACATCAAGGGTCATAATTCAGGAAGGTACGACAAGATATGTGCGAATATCAACAGGAACCAAAATCTTTGGGTTATAAACATGTATTTCATTAAAATCGGATCAAAATTGTTACCTCTAGAGGGCCCACAACCTTGATATACCAGATGTTTATACTATTTGCGTAGAGGGGCGGCCATTTTGTCATGAAAATGTGAGCGTGTAAAAATAATTGTGGTTGTCTTGTTGTCAACATCTTAATACACATGTAACGGAGGCACGAAATAGTCAAGGTGTGGTCTAATTAAAAAGTCAGTCGACATATGATTATTGTAGTTGGGTGGCAGTTTATTAATTTTGATACTTTACTAATGATACTATCATTTTACTAATTTTGATACTTTACTAATGATACTATCATTTTACTAATTTTGATACTCTACTAATGATACTATCAATGTGGCTGTTCCACTTACAAATAGCTTGAAAAGTAAGTCCAAGATGTTTATATTCAGTTACTTCCTTTATTTTAATTGATTTAATTAATAGGGGTGGTTTCACAATGTTGCGTTTAGTCGTGAGTGTTAAAGTTTCTGTCTTGCGGGGGTTAAATGTCACTAGCCACGTTTCCGCCCATATATTGATTGTTTGGAGATCTTTGTTTAGGGTAACTGCGCATGCCTCTGGGTCATCTATTTTTAAGTACAGTGAAGGTGTCATCTGCAAATAGTCTGATGTTTGATTGTATGTCATTTACAATGTCGTTGATATATAATAAAAATAATAGTGGCCCCAATACACTGCCCCGAGGAACACCAGCTGGGATTCCCCTGGAGTCTGAGGAGGTTCCATGTATTACGACGCATTGGTGTCGATTATCTAAATAGTTCTTGAACCACAATAATAACCCTCCCTGCACTACAGCAGCATCCAGCTTGTGACAGAGTCCGGCATGCCTTGCTTATGTCACAAAAGATGATTCTGGTATATTTGTTATGGTCAATAGCTTGACAAAAAAGTGATTTAGATTTATTAATTGGAAGACAGTAGAATCACCTGATAGGAAAGCACTTTGCAGTGTTGTTAGTATTGAATTGTCCTTGAAGAAGTTAAAGACGTGTTTATATATTATTTTCTCAAATATTTTTATAATAAGGAGAGAAATGGGTCTGTAATTGCTGCATTCATTTTGGTGCCCTTTTTTGAAAACAGCCATGACATTTGCAAATTTCCATAAATTTGGAACAGTGTGTGTTTCTACTGAAAATCGAAAGAGTTTGCACAGGGGATTACTAATTTCATTTACAATAAATTTTAAAATTTTAATTTCTCTAGGTGCTGGTATAATCTCGTCTAGACAATTAGTATTCATTTTGAGGGGTGGAAGAGATTTATTAATACTTGGTCGTTCAGATTGCTGTATGAAATAATTATTAAGGGCAGTGGCTGTGTCAGTAAGCGTAAACAAGGTATGTTTTCAACTGTTAGTGGAGGGGGGGGGGGGCTCGTTTGACGATGCAACATGTGGCTTGGTATACGCGTTTATTAGATTCCGCCATTTTTTTGTACCAAAAATTTCTCTATCATTAATTTTTGCATCAATTTTCTCAAAGTATTCTTTTTTACATTTCCTTATCAAATTAATATAGACTATATATGACTATATTATATAGTCATGTCTTATTTTACGAAAGTTTTGCCAACCAGTTTCCAAATTTCATTTTTCTGCTCTCTTATGTATTCTGTTTTTCTACTTTTTCATTCTTCTAATGCTATTATTCATCCAAAGTTTGTCATTTTGCCTAATTGTTACAAATTATTTGGTATATTGTTTTTTACTATTGTAATCCATTTACTAGTGAATTGAACACATGATGCATCAATATCAGAACGATCGACAAGATTATACCAGTTAGTATTTAACGTTTCTGTGCGTATACCATCAAGATTTGTATTTTCGTAATTTCATATCGTTCTTGTGAAACACTTTTGTTTGGTAACGGTAAAAGAGAGCTTACAGAAGACTGGACAAAGGTCACTACAGAAATTATCTAGTTCTATAACGTCACATTCAACTGATCGTGAATGAAACTGGCTGTTTTGGTATTCAAGTCAATATTAAAATCTCCTAAAATATGCACTTATCAATAGGATCGGTAATAGCTTATTGAAAAGAATTAAAAAATCTGTAAATATGTGTATAGGAGACCCCTAGGACAATTGTTTTGCCGTGTGTGTGAGACAGCGGGCGAGAGAGGACCAGGAGGGGGTCGGGCAAAATGTATTTAGGGGAGAAAAACCACGTTGTTAGAAAGTGGTTTTGATGTTCATCTTATTTATTAGTAAAACATAATTTTAGCACTGTACTTCATTAAAAACAGGTGTGTTGGGTACCTGGGCTGGTTGATTTCGGAATTTTCACTTTGGACTAGTGTGGATTTAAAGGTGTCTATAATATATTCATCAAACGTAGGTACCTTTCGATTTTTTTTTCTCTCCCAGCCCCTAAGATATCGATAAAATGATTAATTTTCAGTCTTTCTAGCCACTGAATCTTACTGTTATAATATCTAGTATATATCCAGTAAACATGTTCAGCAATTTCGTCCATAGTCGGGGTACAACCCACAGAGTCGTGACCATTTCTCGGGAATTTTCTGCTCTCTAGAAGTTAGCCGTAGTTTTCAGATATAGGAAACTAGAAATATCTTCACTGGGCTAGAGCACAAACATTACATTAAGTGATCGATTTTCAAGTGTTCGATTATTTCAGATGGGGAGAAGCGAAATTCGGCACTAACCCGACAAGAGAGTGCCAAGAAACTTACTTTGGTTAAGTTGAAGTTTGATTTGGATTCTATGAGTATATAGAATCCACGATTTGTTTATTTGAGTACTGCGCAGGTGTAAGTTCAGATTTTAAAGTATTTTTCTCGTGATTAGAAAAGAGAGAGAGAGAGAGAGAGAGAGAGAGAGAGAGAGAGAGAGAGAAATGGGGTTTAACGTCCACTCGACACAAACTAGGTCAATCCGGGACTAACATGGTTTAATTTCATTTCAATAATTCGCTTGTGCGTGGGGGCCTTTAGCAGTGGGAGGAAACCGGAGAAAACCCACGAGGTTGGTCAGGCGACCCTACTCCTTGTCATGTACAACCGAGGGATCAAAACCACGCCAGATGACTCAATGACAGACTTTATGGTTCAGCGCGCACGTGCTATCCATTCGGCCATCCAATGCCCCTGATTAGAAAAGCACACATTACGGTAATCAAATGAGATCATGTTTAGCAAACCACACACTTGGGTGGGTAGGGGGTGGCATGTAATCTCTTCAACCAAGGTACGGTTCGTTTAATTTTTAAATTCTATTTCGTAAATATCCATTACGAGATTGCGCGAGACTTTAAAGCCTAATCACAAAAATACCAAACAAGTAATCAAATGAAAACAAATACTACAATTTTAATACTTCTAGAGCAAAGTTATCATCATTAACAATTTTCTGATTGTAATATTTAGCAAAATCCTTGAATTAGACCAACCGGCCTTGCTAATGATATCCCCAATGACACATTATTTCATCTAGCTTTAAAGGTGGATTATGGGAGATTAGATAAAGAGTTGACTGTTCTCG